CCCAAAAACAAACAGAAGGATGCCCCCGCCTGAGAGGTCCCCAAAAAACCCAAACAGATGGAGGTTCCCGCCTGAGAGGTCAAAACAATAACCAAAGAAACCCAAACACCATGCCTCTCATCCCTGAAACTGTCCCAAAAAACAAAAAAACAAAGTTCCAGAGGAGACGGCGGCCCTCGTCAATGCATCTGGGGCAGCGGCGTCGGATCTCTCCTGGAACTTTGTTTTTTTGTTTTTTGGGACAGTTGCAGGGATGAGAGGCATGGTGTTTGGGTTTTTTTTGTTTTTTACGGACCTCTCAGGCGGGAACCTCAATCTGTTTGGGTTTTTGGGGGACCTCTCAGGCGGGAGCCTCCTTCTGTTTGTTTTTTGGTGGGGACCTCTCAAGCGGGAGCCTCATCTTGTTCGGTTTTTTGGGGAACTCTCAAGCGCGAGTTTCATTTTTGGTGGGGGGGGAACCTCAGGCGAGTGCCTCGTCTTGTTTGGGTTTTTGGGGACCCCTTAGGCGGGAGCCTCCTTTTGTTTTTTGGGGACCTCTCAGGTGGGAGCCTCCTCACAGTGATTTGTTTGGCAACCTCTCAGGCGGGAGCCGGCGTTGATGGTAATGGAGCTGCCATCCAGGAGGGGGAATCCAAGAGAAGGGGGAGGAGGTGGAGGAGGAGGAGGAGGAGGGGGAGGAAAATGATGATGCTGAGGAGGATGCGGATGCGGATGCGGAGGAGAAGGTGGAGGAGGAAGAGGAGGAGGAGGAGGAGGAGGAGGAAGGAGGAGGAGGAGGAGGAGGAGGATGAGGAGGAAGATGACGGAGAGGAGGAGGAGGAGGAGGAGGATCTATTAAAATGAAGAATGGTGACTGGGGTAGCATCCAAGAGGACCAGATGGAGTTTCTGGGTGCGGCTATCGTGTGTGGCCATCGTCGCGATTGTCCGTATCGTTGGAGATTCGTCCCCTCCTCCCGTTTCTCCTCTCCTCCCTTTATTTAATTCCCCTTCCTCCTCTTCATCATGTTCCTCATCTTCCTACCTCCCTCTCTCTGTCTCCCCGTTTCTCTTCATCATTGTACTTCCCCCCTGCTCCACCCCAATCCCTTCCTCCGATTTTCTCTTCTCCTCGCTCTCCGATCCACTGTCTTGCTCTTCCTCGTCCTCGTCTTGCCTGCTCCCCCTCTCCAGTCGATCGCCTTCCTCCCTCTTCCTTCTTCCGCTTGTCCCCTGGGTCTTCCGCTTGTCCGCTGGGTCTTCCGCTTGTCCGCTTTTAGTTGGGTCTTTCGCTTGTCCGTTTTTAGCTGGGTGTTCCGCTTGTCCGTTTTTCCCCTCTTCTCTTCTTCTCTTTTTTCTGTTTACGTCCTCCTCCTTTCTCTTCTCTTTCCTCCTCTTCTCCTCACCGGCCTCCTGACGTAACTCTGCCGTGGGCGCAATGATTATCAGCTTTGGGCAGCACATCATGCGCGACGTGCTGACGGCGCGATCGGCCCTCGGCGGGCGTTTTGGCGTAGACGTAGGCAGTGCACCCGTTCTACTCGGGGTATTCCACTTGCACAACGACGCGGCCTTTGATTAATCTAGCATGTGTACTGCATTTGGGTAGTGCGTCTGCACTACGTCGGGGTTCTAGCATGTGCACTCTCCATTGCGTGCTTCTGCGCCTAGAAGTTTGCAGCTAAAAAGGAATGCCCGCGGGTCCTGGAACCCAGACGCATCGCACTGCAAACGAGTCCAATCATTTCACCGCCACAGCGCATCGCATATTCTAGCCTGCGCTGTCAGCACGTTGATAAGAGAACAACATCGCACCATCGCTGCGCTTGAGCGCCGACATGTAGAAAGGTAGGCCCCTGCGGGGGGGGTAGCACATACATATATATATATATATATATATATATATATATATGGAACGGGGTGGGCGTTCCCAGTCCCAAACCTGGAGACCTCAAGCCTCCATGGGAGGATCAGGGCCTCAGGAGCGCTCCCAGAGAGCGCCAGGACGGGTCAAGAGAGCCTCCAAGCGTCCTTCGGGGCCGTCAAGACCGGAACCATATTGAGTCCAGGCGGCCCACGACAGTTCAAGATTGCCCCAAGATGCCCCCAAGCAGGCAAGAGGCTACCAGGAGGCGATCATCCACCAAAAACTGGCAGAAGACCATATAATTCTGAAGATTCCGGTCTTCCGTTTCCGAGGGGACTCGGAGTCTTCGGGATAGTCCAGAGATGGCCCCAGAGGGCCCCCTGAGACGCCCGAGAAGGCTCCCAGGAGGCCCCGGAGAGGCCCCAGGATGCTCCAGAGACGCCCCCAAGAAACCCCGAGAGGGCCTATGGAGTTTTGGAGACGCTCCGAAGAGGCCCCCAAAAGGCTCCAAGAACCCCCAAAGGCTCCCCATAGACCGCAAGCTCGCAACCTCCAGCTCCTCCTCCACCTCCTCTCCCTCTCATCCTCCTTCTCACCCTTCTCCTCTTGCGTCTCCTCTTCCTCCTCTTCCGCAGGGGAGGGTCAAACATTGCGTGTCTGTTGGGATATTGAATACAGTTGGGGGGTATCTGGGAGAGACCCGTACATGCCTTGCCAAGGCTACATTATTTTGAGACCAGAGTATCTTCAAAGTCGAAAGGGTGGATTTCACAAAGGCTTGAGCGACAAGAGTCAAACATCATCTTTCTTTTCAAGTTGCTCCATGTGTTTTTGTCTTCGGATGGTGGAGCTTCCAGGGCTCTCAAACGGCAGTTGAGGACCGCAAAGTCGCCTCAAACCAACCCACGAGCCTGACTGAAGGCCCACGCGACGGCCCACGAAAGCCCCAAGACACCCCAGGAGCAGCCATAATTGATCAAGAGGACCCCGCGAAGGCAAGATGTTCCCAGAGGTCTCCCTCAAAATTTCGCCAACGACGACAATGAAAGCGAAGATGATGCCCATGGTGGTGATGAGGGTGGTGATGGGTGAATTGACGGTTGTGACGACTATACGGTTCGCGTCGTGCTTTCCACCATGCTGGCGGTGATGAGGACGATGGGAAAGGGGATGTTGATAATGAAATGGGTGGGAACGATGGCTATGATAATCACGACGCTCGGCTTTGATGTCGCCGCATCATTTAAAACAGTGAACCGATTATGACAGCCATGATTGCGCTGCTAACGATGATAATTTTGTGACATGTGCGATGGCCATCGTGCAAATGAGTATGACCATCGGGAGGATGCCGGGTACTAATGAGGATGAGGACGACGGGGTAGTATCAAAAGGTCCCAGAGACCTCTCCAGGAACATTCGCCGACGACGACGATGATGGCGAAGTTGATGACCATAGTGGTGATGGGTGAGACGACGGCTGTGACGACCTAAACGGTTCGCGTAGTGTTTTCCACCATCATAACGGTGATGAGGATGATGGGATTGAGAATGAAGATAATCACCTGGGAGTGGACGATGGTTATGAGAATGACGACGCGCTGCTTTGTTGTCGCTAGATAACAAAAAGAAGAAATGATGGCCATGCTGGTGGTCTTCGTGGTGATGACGTTTGACAATTACGAAGCCCAATTATGATAGTTATGACGAGTTCGTGTACGAATTAACATCAGGATGATGCCACGCCATAGTGAGGCTATGGAGGACGGGGTTGACGACTGTATTGATGTTGAGGGGTAGGTAATGATGGAAGCGACTATGGCCCGCATGCTCGAGCCGACACCGCTCTTGCAGCAACCACCCGACCTGCGCTGGAACCTGAGCGCGCGATGGTGAGGATGATGGATGGGACGATGGCTGCGACGACGTATACGCTAAGCGTGGCGGGTCCCATCGTGATGATGATGGTCCAGGTGATGGTGAGGTGTGATTGAGGATGATGATTCGAATGATGACGATGTTGTAATTGCTGTTGACGGTAATTACGATGCGCAGGGCAGACGTGCAGACCCGCGTCACCAGGGCAAGGATATGACCGATGAAGATAATGATGAATCTGACCATGAGTCTTGGCATGACGACGTTGAATATGATGAGGGGAGATGAGGATGTTGGATGCTACAGGCATTAAAACGACCGTCAGGATTAATTCGACTATGGCACGATCTATCTCTGTATATACATACACATGCGTCGTAGGGTTCTGTTGGGAGCAAATGTCACTTGTAAGAGGTGTGGGCGGGTCGTCGATATGGGATTCATGCTAGTGCAGAAGCCAGAGAGCCTACAGGCAAGCAAACTATAACAATGGGGGTACATGCAATAGCCAGTCAGCGATCCCGCCCTCCGTAGTCGAAGTGGTTAGACGGCTTCGGCAGCACACGTGTATGCGCAGTTGCATTGGAGAGCAAAACAGTGATGAGAGCCGTTTCAAAGACGCCCCTTTTGTTGAAGGTCATTTGGCACGTATCAGGTAGGCATGCCCCTCTGATAATGATGGCGGCCATCTGGATTGGGGCAGCCGTGATGGTAGTTCTTCCGACCACCATGACAACGCTAGTGTTGAAGCGGTGCGCACAGTAGTTACTTACACATGTGAAGCTTGCGTAAACACTACAAGACGCAGAACAACACCGATGCAGCAACATAGGTTTAAACAGGCATGTCATAACACGGTGAACTGAGTTGACAGCACAATCGATAGCAACACCATAGCGCAAACGATCCAGCTCCCTTTACGTCACCGCTAATGCTACTCGTGTTCAACCGTCTGATGGCAACACGTGGAACGGTTATGATCAATTCTGCATTGGAAACGAAAGAGACGGCGTCCGCGCTATCATCGGAATGGACAGCACATGCTTCCGATACGGGTATGTTTGCTCTAGCCGCCCGGAGCACATTGTTCATTGCTTTGGGAGCATAACGTGTGTTCGAACATGATCGGCAATCAAAGTACGCCAGCCGTTTAAATGCGGGGTCCAATGTTGTCAATGCGAACGAAGGTAGAAGCGCATATGTTTAAGGTTCAGGGGTGAGGACATGCTTCAGTAGGTGTGCCATCTCCGCATTCTCCTGCTCTCACGCTGCCTCAGGCTGTCGGGTACGCCTGGCGCGGGCAGCATCGGAACGACTGCTGGAGTGCGCTGCAGGGTGGCCTTCAGAAAGCGCCGTTGATTCCGTCTTGCATCGTTGCTTGCTCCATGGGTTTCCGTTTGCAGGGTTCATGTGTCGACCTCATGGTTTGAGCAGCTTCTCACGACTTGGCTTGTCGGAGCAGGCACTTGAGCCTCCGTCGACCAGACGGAGGCTGACAGTCTCGGTGGTAGTTCGGCACTGGGTGTGAGCCCATCGCCGCGCAGGTATGACGTCCATCGCCAGTCGTGCTCCTCTCCACATGTTAGGGAGGGTGGAGAAGAGGAGGAGGATCTGGATGGTGGGAAGGAGGACGGGGGGAGTAGGAGCGAAGACGAGTATGAAAGAAGGCAGAGGAGGAGGTAAGCCCCCCAGAGGTCTCTGGAGGCCTCGGGGCGAGAACTGACACAAACCATCCGAAAGCGTGTGGGAATCTTCCTGCTCGATCATCGAGAGTCGGGGGCAAATTTTAGCGGAGAAGGTACGCGTGGCAGGGCCGACTCTTCATACTTCTTCCAGCCTTGGCGTGATCCTTCTGATCTTTTCGGTCCCAGCCGGCGCTTGTAGGCCTGTGGCCAGTTGGCCCCATCGAAAGGGCAGAAGAGCGCCCAGAGGCAGCCAAGCGGACCCCCCAGCCCACCAGAAGTCCCTGAAACAGTCGAAATTGACGAATGTTTTTTTTCGGCGGCGAGCGAGGGGGGGATGTGAGAAGACCTTCTCAGAGGGTTGGAAAGTCCCCCGTCCTTCCGAGGAGTTTTCTAAACCTTCCTTGGAGACAAAAGAAGGCACGAGGGTTTCTGAGAAGCCCCGCCGCCTTCTGCGAAGGCCTTCTCCTTCTCATTTCCCCCCCCTCGCTCTCCGCGGATTTTTTGCGAGGACGAACCTGTCCAAATCCGTGCATCCGTGCTCCTGGATACCGAGGCGGGATCCCGCGGATACAGTGGAGACCAATGCCAAGAAACACCTTGCTTACCTCCAGGGTGCCCTGGGTTGCTTGGCTTTCGATGGTTTTGCAGTGGAAAGTGTGACGTGCCCACACCAAAAATCAATGGACGCCCTGGGGTCTCAGGGTTGTTTTTTTTTTTGCGGAAGATCTCGTGTGGTCGAGCTCCTACTGTACGCGAGCCCAGGGGCGCGCTCTGTGCGGGGCTTCCGCGCAAAGCTGCCTGGGTGCCGCCAGCCGAGGAGGCCAAGCCGCGAGAGGCCGTGGACATGGACGTGTCGATTCAGGAAGACCTCGAAGCCGTCAAAACGGACCCGGACCCCTCGAGGCATGAAAAAATCACGACGGGAGGTTTTTCGCTATTTTGGCTCTCTGGGAGCCCTTACTGGGCCTCGGGACCTTCAAGCAACGACTCAGGATGAAAAACCAGTACCAGGGAATGGGTCGAGACCTCCAGAGTCGACGTTGTGACAAAAATCATGACGTCGGGGGTCTGGGGATGGCGGTCGTGTTCTTACTTATTGTTTTGCCGATCGGCGCGGGCCCTCGCACCCCCTCCCCCTTCCCCCCATTTGGAGTGGATCTTGGCTGTTTTTGGCGCCTTTTTCGAGCAGGGGTGGAGTCTCCCCCATCGGGCGCACTGCTGCAGACAGTCGCATCAAGCAGAGGTCCAGAGCCAGGCGCCCGATCCCCTCCCATTTCCGCCCAAAGTCGAAACGTCGAGTAAGAAAACGTTCACATAAGGTAGTTCGCAGGTCACTGCTGGCCGAGAGAGAGGTTTCTTGGTTGTTCGCGCTCCCCTCCCTGGCCTTTCGGGTAGCCGACCGACCAGTGGCTGGTCGGCCACAGAAGAGCCGGCGGGGGATAGTCATTTCATTTTCCGTTCTTGGTCCAGGAGCCGCTTGGGCCCGAGTTTGTCCGTCAGGTGCCCTATGCTTGTGGACGCCGATCAATGGAGAGGAAGCGTGATACCAAATAAGTGGCACGTGCGCCATGGCTCTTGCAAAAAGAGGAGGAGGAGGTGGAGGAGTATGGGGGAAGAGGGGGCAAGACATCGCCCCTCGGGGCCCAGCAACGGGGCCCAAATCCCAGGTGGGGAGGGGGGGGAGGAGGTGGTGTGCGTCGCGACGCGGACTAAAGTGCTCGGAGCGAAGGGGGTACGGGGCGGAGGTCCCACTGGGGCGCTGGGGCGCGGAGAGGGGGGGGGGTGGTGTGCGTCGCGACGCGGAATCAAATGGTCGGGGCGGAGGGGGCACTGGGCGGGGCTTGGGGCAGAGGGCCACGGGGCCGGGGTCCAACTGGGGCGCTGGGGACGGGGGGGGGAGGTGGTGTGCGTCGCGACGCGGAATCAAATTGTCGGGACGGAGGGGCACGGGGCGGGGCTCCCGCTGGGGCGCTGGGGACGCGGGGAGGGAGGTGGGGGCGGTGGTGTGCGTCGCGACGCGGGATAAAGCGTTCGTGGCAGAAGAGGCAGTGGGCGGGGCTCCCGCTGGGGCACTGGGGACGCGGGGGGGCTCGGGGCAGAGAGCCACGATGCGGGGGTCCCACTCTGGCGCTGGGGACGCGGGTGGGCGGGGGGGTGTGCGACGCGGGATAAAGGGTTCGTGGCGGAGGGGGCAGTGGGCGGGGCTCCCGCTGGGGCGCTGAGAACGCGGGGGGGCTCGGGGCAGAGAGCCACGGCGCGAGGGTCCAACTCTGGCGCTGAGGACGCGGAGGGGGGGGGTGCGACGCGGAATAAAGGGTTCGTGGCGGAAGGGGCAGTGGACGGGGCTCCCGCTGAGGCGTTGGGGACGTGGGGGGGCTCGGGGCAGGTAGCCACGGCGCGAGGGTCCCACTCTGGCGCTGGGGACGCGGGGGGGGGCGGTGTGCGACGCGGAATAAAGCGTTCGTGGCGGAGGGGGCAGTGGGCGGGGCTCCCGCTGGGGCGCTGGGGACGCGGGGGGCACGGCGCGGGGGTCCCACTCTGACGCTGGGGATGCGGGGGGGCGTGCGACGCGGAATAAAGTGGTCGGAGTTCTAGACACCTTGTGCAAGATAATAATTTCCAGATGTCCGAACATGTGTTAAGCATGTCGTAACCATGTTAAACACATGTTTTAAACATTGTTAGAACCTGTCCCAAACAGTTTTGGCTTATTGATTATTCAACGATGTGACTGTTAGGGTGTCCATTGTCGTGGCATCCACAACCCTATGCTAGTCTTGGTCACCTTCAGCCCTGGCAGAATGTGTCATCCTTATCCGCTTCCGCATTTGCTGATCTTTCAATTTCAAGGTTACCCAGTTTCCTTGGACGATGATAATGGGGAGGAGAAGGTGGGGGAGGGGAGTGAGAGGGGAGGAGGAGGAGGAGGAGGAGGAGGAGGAGGAGGAGGAGGAGGAGGAGGAGGACGAGGAGCTTCTCAACAGTTTACGCGGAGAGGGTTGGGGAGAACCGAACGTGTCGAAGGAGCTTCCCGATGTTCATTCGTAGGGGGATGGGTATAGGAGAACGCGGAGAGTGGCAAGGATGAGGAAGAGGAGGAGGAGGAGGAAGAGGAGGAGGGTTATTGTTGTTGTGTTTGTTTGGTCGCGTTTTGAGGCAGGGGGGTCTCGCCCATTTAGCTAGTTATGTAAATCTCTCTGAGCTGCTATAGTTGAAGCGCACATCGGGGTTGCCGAGGGGCCGTCTTGGTTCAGGAGCCTTGTGGGTAGCAAGAGGTGCGATGCGTCGCGGAGCCATTTGGGGTAGAGGTCGTACGGAACGCGAGGCTGGGCCGCAGATGTACGCCGAGATCTCTTGTCAATTGCCCCGCCCCTTGCCCACCTCTGTCCCGAGGGGGACAGAACAAGTGGACAGGACTGGCGGGAATAGACGACATTCTACAGCAGAATCTCAACCCCTTCCGCGTACATCCCAGTAGCGTCTCTCTTGGGATGCACGCAGGTAGAAGAGCCTGTGTTGTCAGAGGCTGGTCAGCAAAGAGGAGAGCGGCGGACCACGTGTGCAACGCAGGCCTGTCTGCTCTCGCGCCGCGACCCGTTGCAGCCTCTTTGCTCTCAAGCACTGGGGCATGCGAAGGGTGCCGTGTCCGTCTTGGGTACGCCCTTGTTTCTTTGACGTTCCGTAATGTGTTGCCATGCTATGTCGTCCTCAAGCACAGCGCGCCCGTGTCCCGTCTCATGCTCATGTTGGTTGTCGTACGTAACGAGTTTCTTGCAGTTGAGGGGGGTCTTGTATTGTAAGTTTCAGTGCGTCATGCGTGTGCGATCGCGGCCTGCCAACGTCCAAGTTCCCGTTGGCTTGACGTGTTCGTCGTTTTGCGCGGCCGCTGAAACAAGTGGCACGCGTGCCCTGGCTCTTGCACCAAGGAGCTGCCAGGAACAGGCGGCATTCGCCTCTTTCCTCCAGGAGTTCCCTTCTGTGGCCAGGGGTGGAGGACGAACGACGGACGAACGACCGACGACGACGAACGAACATAAAGAGGTCCGAGCTCTAGAACACAGCTGTGCAAGATAATATCGCTGTGGTACACGTGGCAGCTCTCAGCTAGCAGGTTCGCAGAGGACCTCTCCTGGATGGTTCAGTGCCTCCCTCACGGTCAGCAATCTGGGCGCATCGCTTGCGCCGCGCCACCAGTTCGGGGCCACCACACTGCAGCGCGACACGCTATTCACGTTCCTGTACCCAGGCATGAGCGCCCCGATATCCCGTACATGGACATTCTTGTCGAACCATGTGTCCCAAGATGCCCCCCAGACCCCCCGAAATTAGTAGTGATGGCGTGACAACGGGGGGGGCGTGACTGGACAGAAATATTCGAACCCCAAAGCACCGCTTTTACTGAGATCAACCTTGATGTCGGGGGCGTGGGGGTGATTTAGAGCCTCCCTCGAATGTGTAAAGGTTCGAATACCTATACGACCACCCTTCGGGTGATAAGGAGGTTGTGGGAGGGGTGGGGGTGGGGGAGGGGGAGGTGAACCAACATCTGACCCAATCGATCTCACTATCGATCTCACTCAACGGGACACCACAGGGAACCACAGGCCACCACGGGACACCACGGGGCACCGCGCGACATTCCTCGATCTCATTATCGGTCTTATTATCGATTTCACTATCGATCTCACTCAACGGGACACCCTAGGACACCACGGGACACTTCGGGACACCAAATCGATCTCTTTATCGATCTCATTATCGATTTCACTCAACGGGACACCACGGGCACTGGACACCTGTCGATCTCACTATCGATCTCACTATCGATCTCACTTTGTGGGACACCACGGGACACCACATCGATCTCACTATCGATCTCATTAT